CATCCAACCAAAATATAAGTCGACTGTGTAAAATAAGTCAATCTTTATTTTTTATTTTATTAAAGAATTTAACTTTTAGATATTAATTTACTACCAAAATATTTTTTTTAAAATAAAAACTAAATACAAAACTAAATTTTGAATTTAAATTTAATAATTTTACATTATTTTTTAGTTTATTTAGCATGTTAAATATGTATAAAGGTATTTATGTACTTTTACGTAACAAAAATGTATATTTTTCCAACTTTACAAGATTAAGTGTACTTTTCAAATTTCTATTAAAATTTAGGATATTTTTCAAAATCCCCCTATAATTTTTTTGTATAAGATAAGAGAGAAACGGTGTACGAAAAAAGAAAGGGCCATAGTATTAACTTCACTCTTTATTTGTAAGAAGAAGAGTTCGAGCATGGATGAACAAGAGTTCAGAGCATGATGAAATTTTAGAAAAGCCAAAAAAATTAGATTCTTTTAGTCAAAATTTACTTGACAACGTAGGCTTGTAAACTGAGCTGCTCGATCTTCAAGTTGAGCTGCACCAGCTGTAACGTTATTATTATTTTTTTTTTTGTATAACATAAGCTGTAACAACAACATCTTTAACATGGCCGGGAAGCACTTTGCAACATGTTTCGTATTGTATTCCATTCTAGGAACTTTTGGACAAAATGATATGTCGAATGGTATTGTATTCCATCATCTATAATTATAAAAAGGGCCATTCATGATAATAACATAATTTCACATCATGATCAGTTGCGGTGTCTCTATCGTTTGTAATTTTTTCAAGACTAATTACCATTGAGACCACTTTTTTTTTTAGCTTAAGTTGTAGGTTGAGTAAGCTTGAAGCATGCCTTTTCGATTTTTTTAATTAATGGATTATGCATTCGTTAGTCTAGTTTAAATACAATTTTGTTGACAAACAAATAAGAAAAGTTAAATATATCACCAAAGAACCAAAATCTAGCAAATAATGAGTCTGTATTGTATACTTTATTTTTACAAGAGGTACTACATACTGTATAGAGCTTATTAATTAGCCTTTTTTTTTTCGAAATGGAAGTTGTTCCACCAACTTTTGGTTTAGTATATATCTTTAATCATTGTGAAGCTCTGACGATAACCGATGACTTCTCCCTTATGATCTACCAAATGAAATGCCAATTTTCTTTTTCTATTAAAGCTAAGTACAAAGTATAATGATCTTAATAGGATAAGTAAAGTTAAATAGTGGATTTTTGACTTTTTGAGTACTTAGACAAGGTATAAAAGTTTTAAAAATGCTTTCATTTTTAATCCACCTTATATATATGCACAAATCACAAGAAACTCATAAAATAGTATACCCTTATAATTAGCAAATACTAGAGAAAACAATATGAGCACACTTCTTTCTTACCTTGTTCTCATATTCTTCTATATGGTCGGAGCTGCGTCATCCGACACTCTTACGGTGAACTGGTCCCTTGGCACCGACTACACTCCGCTTGCCACCGGAAAAACCTTTGCCGTTGGCGATACCATCGGTGAATCATCTCTTTACTCTCTCGAGACTAAACTTGACTCATACTAAATTACCTCTCTTTCGTCTATACAAATATATTTGTTAGGTTGAGATGAAATCAAAAGGATGACCATATGAGAAAACCCTAATCGAAAACTAATCTCATTTTCTGTTGATATGATAAAATGATTATAATGACATTATGGTTTTGTTTACATAGAATGAACATGTAACCTGAAGATCAAATCAAACTAACAAACATATACCGGTTTCTATCATATCCGTTCACAATTGTACCCGAAAACATTAATATTGTTACGATTGTATTACTCAGTGTTCAACTATGGTGCGGGTCACACGGTGGACGAAGTGAGCGAGAATGACTACAAGAGTTGCACGTTAGGGAACTCAATAACATCCGACAGTAGCGGGACCACGACCATAGCTCTTAAGACCACTGGTCCTCGCTACTTCATCTGTGGAATCCCGGGCCATTGCGCCGGCGGTATGAAGCTTGCCATCGCCGTCGCGTCAGGCTCTTCAACCAGTGTAGGCGGTGGCACCACCACACCAACTCCTTTCACCGGAGGAGGTGGTTACATTCCCACGACCACACAGGCCATTCCTTGTACGGCTTGGGCCGTATCCGTTCCATTAGCGGCTTTGGTTGGGTCTTGGGCCGTTGTATTTTCTGCTTTGTATTGTCTTAATTGAAATTTTGTTTTATGATCCAAAAAATGAATACTGAATTTGAACCAAACATTAAGAAAAGATTGCCATGTGTCAGCATGTGAGAGCTCTTTCGAGTATGATATACTCGTAAAGCATCGGATCCACCGTCTCACCTAATTAGGTGGAGTAATTAGGTGGAGTCCACCGGATCTCTATTATATCTAAGCCGTCCATCTAAATAAAACATTACTATAAGTTTGTAACCACTACAGATCTCTACACGAACCGACGCAACAACAGAATAATATCGTTTGTTTGAACCAAGGGATGGTGACTAAATGACGTATTTCGAATGGTTATGATTATATATGTAAGTTTGGATCAAAGATCAAAACTGATTTAAGGAATATTACTGTCATGAACTTATTTTTAGTTGTTGTATACATTTTAAATAGCAAAAAAAAAACCGATATAGGTGAATCCTGGAAATCAGTGTAGAATTTGATATGGTTTTCTCCGAATTTTAAAAGATAAACCATTTGTTTTATACGTTATCAATTTAATAACCAAAAATGTGTACATATCATTGAGATAATTTATTAATTATGTACATTGGTCGATTTTTTGGAAGAGTGACCCAATATTTTCATTTTTTTACAATTTAATTGTCTTTTTTCTTACTTCAAATATCTTTATAATTAAATATGATAAATATGAACCGGTGACCAATGGTTTCCTTTTGGCCTTTT